GGAGGATGGTGTTTTGGAGTTCTGCACCTACTGCCACTCTAACAGAAATACCACAAATGGGATGGCTTGAACAAACAGGAGTTTATTCTCACAGTTTTGGAAACTTAAAATCTGAGTTCAAAGTGCCAGGCTCTAGGGGCTGGGTGAAAGCCCCTCAACCTTGGGCTTCAGCTCTGCCTCCTGCTCCCGGCCCGCTGAAGCTGGAGGCTTTTCTTCACTCAGGCAGCTGCTGGCTGCTGAGACTGACAAACCGAAGGTCATCAAGTAAAAAGGCACAGTCCTGATGTCACCGAACAACATGGCAGGCTACTAATTTGAGTCCAGAAAAAGTCTCAAGGTCGGCAGGGCATGGCAGGCTGATGAACAACAACTTCGCTACATGCAGGGTTCAAACGTGCCAAAAAGCTGGAGATCATTTCCAAAGCTTCTCCTTATCGACTGGAAGTAGCCCACACCCCTAAGGCGGCTACTCAGCTGCTCCAGTAGACTCCACCAAGGAATTGATGGCCAGTCTCATCATGGGGAATACTACATCCAGCTGCCCAGCCACTCAACCAGGCCCAGCCAAGCTGACACGTGACCTTAACTGTCACAGAAACCAACCAGGTAGTTTACCTAGATGAAAAATGGAAAGGTTCAAGGAGAGGGAGTGGCCAACTGTAGCAGCTAACCAGATGTTGCTACAAGAATGTCTAGAGGCCTGTAGTCTGCAGAGTGCCTCTGTCATCAGGGAGACTGGAGCCCCCTGAAGGGTTTGTTACCACCCAAGAGAAGTACAGAAACTGGGAGTGTGCATTTGTCCGCCTTTATAGCACTGTAACATGCCCAGGACATCCAAGTTACTAGTGTGAACAAGACAGCAACGAGTTTGGGTGTCATCACTGTGTATGGGAGCGCATAGCAGTCCCAGATGGATGTGGGAGGGAAGGTCTTTTAGAACAGTTTCAGGGGCACTAGCGACTTCTGAATAAGGAGGCCCAAAGAATCGATGCCTTTGAATGATGGTGTTGGCAAAGAATATTGACTATACTACGGACTGCTGTCAGAAGGAACAACCCGGTCTTGGAAGAAGTACAGCCAGAATGCTCCTTAGATGTGAAGATGGTGAGACTGAGTCGCTCATACTTAGGACATCATGCTTGTAAAGGGTCAGCGAAAAAGAGGAAGACCCTCAACGAGATGGATTGACACAGTGGCTGCAATGAAGGGCTCAGGTATAGCAATGATTGTGAGGCTGGCACAGGACAGGGCAGTTTTGTTCTGTTGTCCACGGGGTCGCTGTAAGTTGAAACCAACTAACGACTACTTCAGCGGAGCACTGATGAAGAGAAGGGGATTAGGATGTGAAAGGAATGAGTGTAGGCAGGTCTCAAACAGTGTGGCTATGGAGGGCAAGAGACCGCTGAAGGCAGTCCTTGCCTGGGCTTCAGAAAAACTCATGTATTTGCACGAGGATGCTTCAGTAATGGGCCCTCACCCCTGCTCCCCACCCTCGTCTCCACTCCCAAGTTTCAGGATGGGTTCAGCCCAGCTCAATCATGGCCAGGGAAGCTTCAGCAGAACAGACCCACATTTTTAAAATGTGAGTGGCCTGGAGCAAGAACCAGAATGGGAAAACTGAGGGGTTGCAGCCTTGCTAGAAATTTCATCTTTTTAGGGCACTGTATGTGTTGCATACCAACCATCTCTCTTGCTCACAGATTCCTGAAAGGGCTCTTTGCTCAAAAGATGGTACCCTCCCAGGTTGCTTTGAATGTATGTTGCTCTCTGCAATTTTGCCAATAATCCAATCTCCCATGTCAGATTCCTGAAAGGGCTCTTTGCTCCTCTTCTGAGTCTCCTATTCTGCGGCTTCAACTCATAATTTTTTGCGTTCTGGTTATCATTCCTGTTCACCCAAATTTTGAAAATGCAGGTCTTTTAACAGTTTCGCTTTATTGGCCATAACAGAACTGATTTGAACCGGTTCAAAACCCTGGTAGGTATGGAGGCTGTCACGTGAGACGGGGAACGGGGATCCTGCCTCCCTGTTTTTAGCTGCAAGGAACCTTCACCCCAGCTTTTTTTTTTTTCAGCTGTAAAAAGAGCATGTAAAGGCTATTGCCTCATTGTAACAGCTATGACTGCCTCACAATAAAGATTGGGAGGTCCCAGCTGCCCAAAGAGGCCACAATAAGTAGGCACTTGCGCACGTGTAATTCCGCTGCGTGGACGCCCACCGGAGTGACACCTGGTTGGAGCGGTTGCCCACCCAGTGTGCGCCTGCGCGCGTGTGCGGCCAACCCAAATGCTATGCGCCTGCGCATATATGACTCCAGGAGTCTGCGGCCGTCATATGTGCGCTTGCGCGCGCCGCCATTTCCCGTAGCCTCGGGCTCGGCCGCGGTGCCCTCCGGGAAATGCGACAGTCAACCCTACGAAATGGCCGTCCTGGGCCAGCTCGGCCTCGCTGGCGCTTCCCCTGCAGCCATGCCCGAGCCTGCCAGCAGATGGCGCGCCAGGATCAGAAATGGGCCCGGGCCACTCCCCAGGGTCCACCCGCGGGGGAATTGGTGTTTTCATGGCTTTTTCAGATTTTTTTCGGATCACCGAGCCTTTGCAAATCTACTGACCACAAAAGTCCTCCCGTACAGGCACTGTGTTGGCCCGGCACGCACCCTGTTCCACCCCCACCCCAGCTCACTAGTGCAGCCTTCCCAGGGAGCTGGGCCCCAGCGCACTCACGGGGCTTCTGACACCAGGGCCTGGAGAAGACAGCGGGCTTGGGTCTTTCTAAACAGTGGATGGGATGAAGGCCTGGAAGGCTTGAGGCCTGGAGAGATGGCAGTGGGAGCAGGAGGACTGTCTTTTCAGTCAAGAGAAGATCCTGTCTTAAGAACCTCATTGAGGTTACCAGGTGCACTTGGAGATGCAGTTTGTCAGGGGAAGCCAGCTGGGGTCCTCCCTGGAGGAGACAGGATGCCTGCTCACGGGGTGGGGCTCTGCCTGGGTACGCTCTGCCTCACCCTCGGGAAGAGGGTCCTTCCATGTGCCTGGGAGATGACAGTGACCAGTGGGGTACTGAGGCCTGGTCCTACAGCAGTTGCTCCCTAAGGATGCTTGTCCTCCCTCAGCGCCTTCATGGAGTCTGAAGAGCAGAAATTCGCCACCGAGCCTGGAGAGGCCCCCAGAAGGGACCAAGGAGACCCAGCTGCCCCCAGCCTGCGGCCCGTAGACGCCAGTGGCCCACAGAGGCCAAGCAGCCCCCGAGGCCCCGAGCAGCTCACTGAACTGGAGGGCCACTCTGGAAGGTGAGGACAAGGCTGCAGGGGTGGGCGGGATTGTTGCCAGGGGCCAGGCATACCCATTACCCTCTGCAGGTGCGAGTGGCTGGGAGCCAGATGCAGGCAGAGCTGACATGAGCATCCCAGGGCTGTTTCGCAGGTGTAGGCTCAGGGCCACAGCAGCCCGTCTTGTTAGTGCAGGCCTGGCAGAAGACCTACAGAGAGCAGTGTGGCCTGGCAGCCAGTTGGAGCCCACAGGCCCAGGTGGGGAGAGGGCCACGGGCTGGCTTTACCATTGGTGGAAGCCAGAGGTCTCTTTCAGAGAAGGCAAGCATGTCATGGTGTGAATGGGAGTTGCCACCTGGGATAAAAGCTACCATTGGATGAGCACCCCCTTCCCCACCTTACCCTCACTGAGCACTGCAGAACTGCCCTTCAGGCAGCCAGGGCTATGTGCCCTGCCAGATGGTAGTAGAGGACGACTCGCTGGAGGTCCTGGGGGTCTCTGACGGTGACGGCAGGGGTTTTGGTAAGATTATCCATGGCCCCTGGAACTTCCTGGAGTGGGACACTGAAACTGCAGGGGTGCCAGCAACTTCCTCACAGCCCCCATGGCATGCCTGGGCGGGGTGGCATCTGGGCGCTGGCCCTCTTGTGCACCCGTGGCCTGGGGTTGGGCTGTGTTTGCAAGAGGCAGGCGGCAGGAGCCTGAGGAAGTGGAGTGGTTTTCTGGGAAACACCAAGAAGCCTGAGTGATCAGCACCCTGTCAGCGGCCCCAGTACCAGAGACTCCGACTGGTGTGACAGTGGGGCGGGAGAACAGTCACAGTCTAGTCTCTGCCTGATGTTCTAAAGCATGTCCCTTGCAGCAGGAGCTTGAGCCAGACTGACGGGCCTGCAGCCCCAGAATGCACCACTGCAGGTGGCACCACCCCCTCCAGTCTCCAGGGTGCACTCTTCTGGCATAGTGGAGCTGGGTGCGTTGAGGCAGGGTGCCTTCCACAGACAAGGCGGGAGGACTTCCTGGAAGACGTGCTACCCAGACTTTAGAGAATCCAACTCCAACCTTGCATGTGCCACAAGAGAGCAGGCAGACAGGAGCTGGGGGGTACTGAGGGCAGTGAGGGTGTCCACTGGAGCCCTGACCTGCAGTGGGCAGCTGCAATAACTTAACTGTGTAGGCCTCGTGGCTGGGAGTGGGATGAGCAGGTGTGAGGAAGGCCTTATGGGTGGGCTGGGAGGTCTGGTCCATTCTGGGGAGCATGCGGGCTGGCCCAGGAGTGGTGGCTTACAGAGTCCCAATCCCTGTCAGGTCTCCGCCTCCATCTGGCAGCTGGGGCAGGACGATCCTAGGAGGGGATCCACCCATCCTGTCAGGAGGGGAGCTGGGCTATGTCCTCCCCACTGCCTCCAGAGTCCGGTGTCTGTCCTGCCTGGCATGCCCCAGTGAATCAGGGACCAGGGCCTGTAGGGCCTGGGCCCATCCCACTCTGCCTCCCCCGGGCTTTCTCGCCTGTGAGCTGAGAGCAGCCTCTCAGTGTTTGGTGGGCCGGCCTCAGGCTGTGGCCGAGCAGGCACTGTTGGCCCTGGAAAGAGGTCTGCCTTCCGTGCCAACTCACTTGCCCCCCGGCTCCTTTTCTTCAGGGCGAGAAGCCCCTCGAGCTGCCTGGTCATGGCGACCGTCACCACGGCTGCTGAGTGGCTGCACGTTTCTGTTCTGCCTGCCCAGCTAAGTAAGAGGGCATGTTTCTCAAACGGGGGTCCTGTGTCCTCCTTGGCACTAAAGGACTCACCATGGGCTGCTTCCCCGCCGTTAGCTCCCTGCAGCCCACTGGTTCAAGGCCACAGGCTGCAGTCCTAGGCCCCCAGCACAGAACCCTGTTTGGCCCTGGATGTAGCGCCGCCTTAGGCCCCTCCCCTGTCCCAAGGAAGCAGTAGCACAGGGCCCGGGTGACGCTGTCTGTCCTTGGGGAGTAGGCTGGCAGGCGCACGAGAGCTGCCCTCTCTCCCACCTCTGGGAGGAGAGGTGGCCCATCTCTATGGCGAGGCTCCTAGGTGAGGGGCCCAGCATGCAAGTGGGACTGCCCCCATCCCCAGGCTGCCCAGGCCCGTGCAGCCCTCTGCAGGACCAGGAGTGAGAAGGGAGAGGCCACACTGGAGGTGGGGGTCTTGCAGGGGCCACGCAGGGTGTCCAGGGAAGGCCTGGAGGCCAGTCTCGGCCCACATGGTGTGGAAAGCAAAGCCAGTGAGATGGGAGGGCGGGCTAGAGCCCAGAAGCCGAGGGGAAGGTGGGGGCTGCCTCCCACAGTGGGGACTTGGGTGCACGTAGCCTCTTTTCAGGGTGCTCAAATTCGAACCCACGGCTTCTGTGTGAGCCCCAGGCCCTCTAGGCTGCAGCCCAGCAGCTCTGCTCTTGGGGAGCAGGCTGTCGTGGGCAGGCCCCGTCCTGGGGGGTCTCCTGGCTCACGCCCTGGGCCACGTGTGTGCCACTGTACAGCAGAGGGTTCCTCTCGCTGAAGGGGCACACGGCTGGCAGCGAGGTCTCTTCTGGGAAGCTGTGGTCTCCGTGCTGCAGCAGGTGAGGGCACCCCAGCCCCTCTGGAGCCGGGGCCTCGCTCCAGCCTGCATCCCCTGAGGAGCTGTGGCACGGACTGACGACATCCCTGGCCAGATGTGACCCTACGCTTCCACTGCTTACATGGCTCCGTGCTTCCGAGGGCCCTGCCACAGCGAGGGCAGCCACCCACTGTGGCAGCTGTTTCTCTCAGCGGCCACGGCTGCTTTAGTCACGACAGGGACCCGGCCATCCTGTTCTAGAACAGAGGCTCCTCCCTGCAGCCCCCCGCCCCGCTGCCCTTCCCTCATTGAGTACACCTTGTCACTGGCTTCCTGACGCTCCCCAGCGTGCTGCCAGCCACCGTGAGACAGGCCTCGGGAGGGTCTCCGCGACAGCACCCCCTGCTGCGTGAGCACTCGAGGGTGAGGAGAGCACCCAGCCTCATCTTGGATTTGGCCTGCTCTGGCTCTAGTTCAGACCCCAGCTCAGCCCCTCACTGGCTGGCCCCTCTTGGGGTTTCCAAGGCGGTGTCTCTAGGGAAGTAGATTGCCCAGTCTTCCTTGCTCACTGAGCCTCACTTTCGTCAGCTGTCGCTCTTCGGGACATCTGTTCAGGCAAAACTGCTCAGATGTGGTTCACACACCAAAAATCCCCCCTTTTGATGCCTGTGACTCAGTGCCACCACCACCTTTGTCTCATCCCAGAACGTTTCCATCACCCCACACGAAACCCACAACTGTTAACAGTGCCCCACAGCACCACCCCCAGCTCCAGGCAAGCACTCACCTACTTCCTTCCCCTCGAGGCTGGTGGGAGGCTGGAGGCCACCCTGAAGCGCTTCTGGACAACCAGTCACCCACGGTCCCTCGGAGCACAGCTCTGCGCTGCCATACAAGGGGTCGCCTGCGGTCAGGGTGGGCTCGATGACAGTGGGCAGGTTGGCAGATGGGACAGCAGTCCCTGGTGGTGCAAATGGTTAATGTGCCCAGCTGCTGACCAGGAGGCTGGAGGTTCAAGCCTGCCTGCAGGTGCTGCGAAAGAAAGGCCTGGCAACATGCTTCTGAACAATTGGCCATTTTCTTTCTTTATCTTGCCATCATTTGAGTGAAAGTTCACTGAGCAAATTGCTTTTCCACTGAACAACTTACATACATTTTGTTTTGTGACATTCATTGCAATCCCCACAAAGTGACAGCACTCTTCCCACTTCCTGTGTTTACTATTTCCCTTCCTTCTCCTTTCCTGCCCCTTCCTGCCTTCTTAGCTTTCTCCCTGGGCAAATGCTGCCCTTCTGAGCTCAGGTGGTTGACTGTTCTAAGGACTGCGTACATCCCGGGTGTTACTGTTCACCTTCTAGGCCTGTCCGTCCTTTAGTGGAAAGTGGAGCCACAGTGGTGAATGCAGTTCCAGGCCTGAAGGGGGACCATAGACCGGGGAACTCCACCAGTCTGCACCAGGCCCGTAAACCTGGTCTTTTTATGATTTTGAGTTTTGTTCCACATCTTCGCAACCTTACCCAGGACCTCCTAATGTGATCCTTTGCAGGGCGGTCAGCAGTGAGAGTTGTCCATTGTAACACCTGTGGGCGTTCCACTCTGACCCCCACAGGATCTCCATGAGTCAGAGTCGACACGATGGCAACGAGTTGGTTGCTTGCAAGATGGAACAGGAGTCCCTGGGTAGTGCGAATGGTTACTGTGTCCAGGGCTAAGCAAAAGGTTGGAGGTTTGAGTTCCCCCCCACCCCGAGGTGCTGGGGAAAAAAGGCCTGGAAAGCCACTTTCATAAAAATCACTCTGACAAAAACGTTTTAGAGCTGGATGTCCCATTAAGTCAAAATGCCAGGTCTTATAAGAAACTCGTCGGCCTTTGTTCTGGTTCCCTACTGCCACTCTGACAAGAATATACCCCAAATGGGATGGCCTTAACAAACAGCAGTTTAATCTTACACTTTGGAG